TGCAGGTGGGGACTCTGGAGGTTGGGAGGGCAAAGAGAAAGACAGTTGGTGTGGGGTCATTTTAGATCCTGTTGGGAAAAGCTNCAGGGAGCGGGCAAGAGAAAGACAGTTGGTGTGGGGTCATTTTAGATCCTGTTGGGAAAAGCTGCTTTTAGGTCCCAATAGAGAAGCTAGAAGAATAACTAGAAAGCCTGGGGCAAAGAGAGTAATCAGGACTAAGAGGGGAGGATGTGGTCCACATTAAGGGAACCTGGGCAGGATGTCCCGTGATCAGAGAAGTGATGGGGTGTCTCCAAATAACCCAAAGAAATGGCCACCAGGTTTAAGTGCATGTTTTTAGTTTGAGGAACTGTGATGTAGTTAATGGGACATGTTCCTTCTCCAGCAGACACTTCTTTCTTTCCTCATTCTCCACCCCTGGGTGCTTTGGAAAACCTGACTAGCCATCTGGGGAGGAGTCAGAGCAGAAACATGAGGAGCAGAGAGAGAGAAGCCAACTGTGCACTCTTCCCACTCTGCAGACACCCTCCCCCAGGAGGCCCACACTGGGGAAGGAGAAAGACACACATCCCGGGGGGTCCGAGTTCTGACTTCTCATTGTATTGGATACTTAAATTATTGGTGACAGGACCCATGTTACCTGAGAATAGCAAGAAGAGTCATGGAGTTAGCCCAAGTTTTCATCCAGAGTTAGGAAAAAAAAAAAAAACCAAATCTCACTCAGTAAACTGTAAAGGACGGCAGGCACAGAAGTGCAGTTGCTTTATGATGGTTTTTCTGTAACTTGAGCTTGTTCAGCACAATGGTGACATTTGAGTGAATGTTGAAATGGCATCTAAGCTCAGCAAGATTCCAAAGCTCAGCAAGATTCTTCGTGGCAGCTCTGTGCTGGACAAGGGTCACCTGTGCTAGACCCTGAATTCCAAAATCTCCTCCAAGGCTTTCCACCTGCCCTACCCTCACCCCAGGTCCTCTGGAAGGATACGATAAGCTCAGGTCACCAGCCAATCTGGCTCCAAGCCCAACCCAAAGACCTGAAGGAATCTGTCTTGAGTGTAGGGTATGGTTCTAAAACCTGCAAGTTTCATTAGCTCTAGTGAATTTGTAAAGCTTCCCATCTGCCAAGTTCCCCTAATTCTTAAGAATAGCCCTGTGGGAACCCTGAGTCAGGAACTAGAGAGTCAGGGATCCCCCACTCACCGTTGGTATTTCCTCGGAGGCTCCAAGTGACCCATTTGTCAAAAGAGGGTGCGTAAGCAGTTTGCAGTCCCAGTCCCCAACAGCACTTATAGCTTGCGGAGCGCCAGACCAGGACTCCAGAGATTAATAGTCCTCATTTCTAAGCCAGTGGGAGCCTCGGTGTCCTGAACCGACAATTCCTGAACTAACAATTCATCATTTGTCCTGTGATTCTTAATCAAGGCTGAACAACAGGATAACCTGTGGAGCTTTACAAAAAGATGTGCATCCTCAAAGCACGCCCCAGGGGCAAGGTTCAGTTGGTCATGGGGAGGCCCGGGTGTCACCTTCTTGAAAGTCTCACTGATGACTCTCCCAGGCATTCCTATTGAAGACTATGGAATAAGATGACCCATCAGACCCCTTCCAGCTCCAGCAACCTAGGTCTTCTGGGGCAGGAGCTCAGAGGACAATTTTGAGAGTGTCAATCTGAAGATATTTTATCAGACCTCAAACCAGTGCAGTTAAAATCATCCCTCGTTTCCGAACTGCCAGTCATTTCAGTCTTGCCTTTCTTTAGCCCCCATCCCAGACACCTGAAAGAACCCAAGGGAGAGAAGAAAGGCAAAGTGACATGACCTACAAGTGACTCAAGGCCCCATGCTGCCCCGAATTCAGGCAGCACAGTCTGGTGGTCATCATGAAATACAGGGTAACGTGTAAAGTGTAGCATTTGTAAGAGTGACGTCTACATCAGACTTGGTAACTGTGACCTTGGGAAAGTAATGTAACGGCTTTGTGCCTCAGTTTCCTCATCTGTAGATTGAGAATAAAAATATCAGTTTCCTGGGATTGTTGTCAGGGGCAAGTTAATGCTGGTAGAGTTCAGAGGGGTGCACATCCTGCCATGCAGTGGGCATTCAGTCAGTGTTTGCAATTATCGTGTGTATTCTTGTCATTGTCATCATTCCCCAGAGAGTCGCTTTGGCTGATGTCAGCAGACACCAGGGAAATGCAAGGTACAGAAAATATATCCTTGCCTTCCTTGATGTACCCCTTTTCATAAAGAGCAGGGAAGTCTGTGGAGCTTACACTACTTTTATGAAACTGGCATTTTTAACTAGAACAGACTTCCAGGGGCTTTTCTCTCCCGGGTTACCTTGACACCCTGGCTTAGTCAGTGTTACTGCAACATAAACCTGACAATCACACATGCCACAGATTATCTTCCCAGGATATGAATGTTCACAAAACCAACCTTTCAGAGAGAGGAAGTACAGGTCTGCACGAAGAGCCAACTTAACCAAATTGAGAGCAGAGTGGAAAAGGAAAACCTTGACTCTGTTGTTCACATATCTTATACAGATTGTGAGACCTTAGCAGAAGGCATTACAAGATGGTAGGCCCTGGAAATAGGAAGGTTACAGAAGTCTAGCTTTCCCAGGAAGTGGCTGTGACTTGCCACGGGTCACCATTGCCCCAATATGTTCCTTATGAGACCTCTATGGAGGAAGAATTATTTTTCTGAGAAGTCACCAAACTTTGGAGTTACAGTGCCGTCAGAGTGCCCACCCCCTGGTAATGGATTCATCTGGGTGTCCCAGAGAGCAGAATACACTGGTAACAGTCATGCAGGGTGGATTCTCGTGCTCTACCGAGCAAACAGGAAGTGCCAGTTGCTAGCTTTCTCCCCTCCGCTCAGGGGCCGCCATCTTGTTTAACAGACCTCTCCTCATGTTTCTTATTGGAGTGTTTCCCATCATGCACTGTGGCCACATTGGCGCCTGGCCTTTCTGCCCGTGTCAGGCCATCCAAGGGTCCCCAGGAGCCAGCACCAGTGGAAGAGCAGATCCTCGCCCCCCAGGACCAGCTCCTGCGCCCCCATGACAACCCTTTCTTTATGAAATCCCCACTGAACTTGAAGGTTTCGCTGTGTGTTGGGAAAATTATGGCAACGCCTTGAAACTGTACTTACAAGACATTTTAATCATGTCTGTGCGTGAAGAACTATGAGCCTCTGTCTATTTAAAAACAAAGGGGTATCATCTGTTCCTTTCAGGAGACACTGAAGAGGAAAATTCAAGACGCCCCCAATCCAAAGGATGTAGCAATAACAAGTCACTTTAGGACAGTGTTGTAGTTTGGAAAATCATTTTGTTTCCCTTTAGTTGCTTAGAGAACATTTTTTTTTTCCCTAAGCAAGAAGTCTATCAGTTCAGTTCAGTTAAGTCGCTCAGTCATGTCCAACTCTTTGCAACCCCATGAACTGCAGCGCGCCAGGCCTCCCTGTCCATCACCAACTCCTGGAGTCCACCCAAACCCATGTCCATTGAGTCGGTGATGCCATCCAACCATCTCATCCTCTGTCGTCCCCTTCTGTGGTCTCTTGCAATTGTCTATGATAGAGATGGCAGTGTGGGGTAAACGGAAGGGCACCTCATACTGGCTGGTAGTGACAGTGGCGATGTGGTGTTGATGATTCTGAGCCTGTATCCAGCTCACTGGAAGCCTTCACCTGTGCTCAATGGAATGGGCCTGGGATGAGGTGGGGCGGGTGCAGCGGGCACTGGGCGATTTCTTTACCAGTCCTAACGTAAAGAAGCGCTTGCACTGGGAGCAGGTTTGCTTATAAAGTTTCCTAGTGCTCAGCAGCTCCTTTTCTCCTGGGCAGGAGTTATACCACCAGTCCTATGACTGCGTCTGCGTCATGTTTGCCTCCATTCCTGATTTCAAAGAATTCTATACAGAATCAGACGTGAACAAGGAGGGCCTGGAATGCCTTCGGCTCCTGAATGAGATCATTGCCGACTTTGATGATGTAGGTACTTAAGAGTTACCCTTCAGCCTGGATGGGAGGGGACCTGGGGGGGGTGAATGGATACATGTATATACATGTATGGTTGAGTCCCTTTGCTGTCCACCTGAAACTATCACAACATTGTTAATCGTCCGTACTCCCATACAAAAATGCATGCTAAGTCGCTTCAGTCGTGTCTGGCTCTTACGACCCTGTGGACTATAGCCCCCAGGCTCTGTGTCCATGGGATTCTCCAGGCGAGAATACTGGAGTGGGATGCCACGCCTCCTCCAGGGGATCTTCCTGACCCAGGGATCGAACCTGAGTCCCAATACAAAATAAAAAGTTAAAAAAAGAAAAAAAAAGAGGTACCCTTGATGGGCAGAGGTGACCCCAGCCCCACACGCTGACATTCCTGTGGACTGGCACATTTGAAGTTAGTCCAGTATCATGGCATATATGAAAACTCATCCTTTGGCAAAATTGCTGGTGGTTGGCATTAATCTTTTTGCTCTATTTAGGTTACTGACTAATATCGGTGAGGCAAACACATACTATTTGTAAAGCTGATATGATTGCTAGGAGCAACTACCAAAATCTGTTCAATAAAATACCTTTCTAGTGTGCCCATAAATTTTCTTGAAAGGCCTGAACTCCAAGGAAAATACTTGCCCGTATCTTTATACATAAAAAAGATAATGAATATATTTATCATAGTGGATTATTGGCATGTCTTTCTGTACAGACTCCAAGGTCTCTGTCAGATATCAGCTTGAAGTGTGCAGGGATGGCCTACTTTATTATTGAAAAAGCAATATGAATGCAGTACAATATATTTTAGAAAGGACAAAGTATATGTCTTAGATTTTGAAACAGATGTCATTTTTCAATTTTCTACCTACCAAGGGAACAATGTGATTTGTTTTCTAGTAAGAACAAACAGACCCCTGATGTGAAAGATATGGATGCTACACCATTTTTAATAATATCATGCAAATATAGGAAAAATTGACAGTGGTGAACATAGGTTCATCATGATTAATGGGACTTTGAAATACAGTGATGAATGATGTAATAGGAAGGTTTTATGCCAAACATCTAAATGTCTTAGGGACCTGTGCGTTTCTCTACTACCACTGTTGTTACCATGAGGTTGACCCAGGATTCGTGGTGAAGTAATGACAACTAGAGGCTTCCACTGTTGTGCTGGGTCCCTAGTGGAGACATAGGGGCGTATTTCCTCCAGCTGCTCCTCTGTAAAATAAATATTCTTCAGCATTAGTGTCCTAGGAGGTTTGATTGGCTCATAGAGATGTGATAAAGAGATTTGCTCACCTATCTCAGATTCTCTGACATGAAACCCCATCTGAAAGCAGGAGTACAAAGGAAGGTTCTAGAAAGTGTTCCCAGCCTTCTGTCCCTGCCATTGTCCTGCTGAGCAGATATAGAACCTTCCAGAGTTTCCGTCATTTGCTCTCTCCATCCAGTCTTTCTCTTTCCTACCACTTATTTTTACCTTTCTTCCATTCTCACCCTAAGGCTTAATATAGTGGATGGGGAGGAGCCCAGTAAGAAACTGATTATTGGTGCCAGAAGCTGGCACCAAAAAAAAAGCTGGGACCAAAAAAAATTAGGATCAGAGCTGATAGGAGGGCCCATTCTAGGTCTTCATTCCCTCCACTCCGTTTTCGGAGGGCAAAAGCCAATCCCTGGCCCTGCGTGTTGTGTGCTGTGCTGTGCTGAGTCCCTTCAGTCGTGACTCTTTTCAGTCCCGTGGACTGTTGTCCCCAGGCTCTGTCCATGGGGTTCTCCAGGCAAGAGTGAATTGCCATGCCCTTCTCCAGCCCCAGCACTATAAGTAGTCATAAATTACCCTCACCATTCAGGGAAGACCTCACACTCTGAATCATTTTGTATGTAGGCCCTTCAAACACAGAGTGGGGAAATGTATTTGAGGAAAATCTGAAAATATAATGAAGCCATTATCACTCACATGATCAGGTTATCCTGCATTCTTCACTAGAAATTCTGAAAAATAATTTGTGCTAACTGGAAGTAAATTATTATACTGTGTTTCCTTCCAAGGACACATACTTTGTGAAATTGATGAAGTGGTGCTTTCCCCAAGATGCCCAGGGTCAAAGGGTGAATAAGTAGTGTCCTGTTCCCAGGACTGATAACTAGAATTTGAGAATGCCTCTGAAGTGCTTGGCCATGGGTCAGCACCCAACCGAGTAACTGTATGGTTCTCATTGCTCCCCAGCTGCTCTCCAAGCCGAAGTTCAGTGGCGTTGAAAAGATCAAGACCATCGGCAGCACATACATGGCAGCGACGGGTCTGAGCGCGGTGCCCAGCCAGGAGCACGCCCAGGTACACATGTGTCAGCAGCACCCAGCACACACGAGCCTTGACTCTGCCCACAGGTCATCCGTGAGCCCAAACAGGCACGCCGAGGCCCATTCATTGTATTGTAAGCGCAACCCAAACCTCAGCGATTAAGGTCTCATGAGAAAAGATGATAATTCTGGAGGCTTCTGAGGGTCTGTTCACAGAACCCCTTTGTCTGGCAGACAAGGTAGAAAAAAACAAGGTAGTTGCTTGATACCAGATAAATATACAAGAAAGTAGATTAGGGCTGTTTACTTAAAGGTGACTCATTACAGGTGGCTCAGATGGTCAAGAATCTGCCTGCAATGCAGGAGTCCCGGGTTCAATCCCTGGGTCAGGAAGATGCCCTGGAGAAGGGAACGGCTACCCACTCCAGTATTCTGGCCTGGAGAATCTCATGGACAGAGTAGCCTGGTGGGCTGCAGTCCATGGGGTCACAAAGAGTCGGACACGGCTGAACAAGTTTCACTTTTATTACAGGAAGGCCCCTGGGCTTTTTATTTAAAACAATTTGCCCAGAAAACATGCTGATCACCTAGAAATTTGGTTGAAAAGGTGGTTTGGTCAGAATTGAGTATCTTCACTCAACTAGGGTTTTTGAAGAGGATTTTCTGTTAAGTTGTATTTTGTTTCTCTCTGTGTGTGTGTAGATATGCTTTGTTAACTTGTGGGTCAATAACAAGACCTCTTTCCCTTCAGGACAGTGGGTTCCCTGACAGGCATCAGCATATTTGCCACAGGGCAGACAGAGGTGGTGGGTACCGCAGAGGGAAACTCGGGTTCAATCCCTGGGTCAGGAAGATACCCTGCAGAAGGGAAAGGCTACCCACTCCAGTATTCTGGCCTGGAGAATCTCATGAACAGAGTAGCCTGGTGGGCTACAGTCCATGGGGTCGCAAAGAGTCGGACATGGCTGAACAAATTTCACTTTTATTACAGGAAGGCCCCTGGGCTTTTTATTTAAAACAATTTGCCCAGAAAACATGCTGACCACCTAGAAATTTGGTTGAAAAGGTGGTTTGGTCAGAATTGAGTATCTTCACTCAACTAGGGTTTTTGAAGAGGATTTTCTGTTGTTGTGTTTTGTTTCTCTCTGTGTGTGTGTAGATATGCTTTGTTAACTTGTGGGTCAATAACAAGACCTCTTTCCCTTCAGGACAGTGGGTTCCCTGACAGGCATCAGCATATTTGCCACAGGGCAGACAGAGGTGGTGGGTACCGCAGAGGGAAACAGAACTTACCAGAACATGGCTTGCTGGAGGTGGGCGGATTCCCTGAAGAGAGGAAGCGCGCGGACACCCCTCACGTGCTCAGCTTCCACCCCACCCCCGCCTCCTAAGCTGCTTCCCCTCAAACGAGAGAGGGACAGAGGGGCAGCAGCTTGTTCAGATGGGACCCCAGGAACATCAGGAGAGGGTGCTCTTCCCCCCTCACACTTGTGGGCAAAGAAGAGAACGTGAAATATCTGACTCAAGATTAACATAGGTGTTTTTTTCGAGTGAGCGGGGTAATATATGTCCCACGCGCTCTTCTACTTAGGTGTTGCTTCCACGTTATTTCATGGGTACCAATTAGTTCGGGCTTCCCAGGTGGCGCTAGTGGTAAAGAACCCACCTGCAATGCAGGAGACGTTGCAGTTTGATCCCTGGGTAGGGAAGATGCCCTGGAGGAGGGCATGGCAACCCACTCCAGTGTTCTTGCCTGGAGAATCCCATGGACAGAGGAGCCTGGCAGGCTGTAGTTCATAGGGTCGCAAAGAGTCAGACACAACTGAAGCAACTTAGCATGCAGGCACAGATTGCTTTAGTAATAAGAAAAAGTAACAAGCAATAAAAGGAACTTTTGGAAAATCTTAAGCTCTGAGCAGTGCCCTCCCAAGCCATCTTGATGCCTGATGCAGAAGGAAAAATGGGCACCCCTGTTTATGGGGTGTTGTGTACATTTAAGGATTGTGTTTTTATTGCCGGAACATTCAAGTGTTGAAGAACTATTGGAAAATTGGGCAATAAAGGTATTAAAAATGTACAACATTGTTTTCATTTTAAATATATTATTTATACCAAAAATAGAGCTAATTGTAGTTTTACTTTCCAAGCTTTAGTGGAAGAAAACGTAACAGTTTTTTCAGCATCTTTAATGTTCTGGAAAAACTAACCATTAAAAAATAACATAAAATTATGTAAATAGGGACATTTTCATGTGTTTCTTTCCCTGCATCTAGATTAGAGCAGGTGCCCAAGAGTTTGATGCTGTGAAAGACTGAGGGCATGAGGAGAAGTGGGCGACAGAGAATGAAATGGTTGGATATCATCACTGACTCAATGGACATGAGTTTGAGCAAACTCTGGGAGATTGTGAAGGACAGGGAAGCCTGGTGTGCGGCAGCACATGGGGTGGCAGAGTCCCGATAGGAATGAGCGACTGAACAGGTCTTAAGTCACATTCCCCAAAGTCCCAGCAGGGGGAGCTGTGGAGAGCAATTCAGTTCAGTTCAGTCGCTCAGTCCCGACCGACTCTGTGACCCCATGGGCTGCAGCACACCAGGCTTCCCTGTCCATCACCCACTCCTGGAGTTTACTCAAACTCATGTCCTTTAAGCCCGTGATGGCAGCCAACTATCTCATCCTCTGTCGTCCCCTTCTCCTGCCTTCAATCTTTGCCAGCATCAGGGTCTTTTCCAGTGAGTCAGTTCTTCACATCAGAGTGCCAAAGTATTGGAGTTTCAGCTTCAGCATCAGTCCTTCCAATGAATATTCAGGACTGATTTCCTTTAGGATGGACTGGTTGGATCTCCTTGCTGTCCAAGGGACTCTCAAGAGTCTTCTCCAACATCACAGTTCAAAAGCATCAATTCTTCAGCACTCAGCTTTCTTTATAGCCCAACTCTCACATCCATACATGACTACTGGAAAAACCATAGCTTTGACTAGATGGGTCTTTGTCAGCAATGTAATGTCTCTGCTTTTTAATATGCTGTCTAGTTTGGTCATAACTTTTCTTTCAAGGAGCAAGTGTCTTTTAATTTCATGGCTGCAGTCACCACCTGCAGTGATTTTTGGAGCCCCTCAAAATATAGCCTCTCACTGTTTCCATTGTTTCCCATCTATTTGCCATGAACTGATGGGACCGGATGCCATGATCTTAGTTTTCTGAGTGTTGAGTTTTAGGCCAACTTTTTCACTCTCCTGTTTCTCTTTCATCAAGAGGCTCTTCAGTTCCTCTTCGCTTTCTGCAATTACCCACATCCATTCAGTGAATGATGTGGCGCGTATCTACCGTGCTTGCCAGAACAGCACTCACTTCCTCATGCTGTTTTACAAACCTGCTCCTCCCAATGCCAACGCTCCCCTTTTATAATCCTGGTATTTTGGAACACTTACTCAATGCCTCTTGAGTCTGGGAGGTGCCCCACCCCTGGCCCCTTTTACAGATGGAGAAACTGAGGCACAGTGGTGCAGTGACTTGCTGGTGCAGAGAACTAGCAGCCAGAGGGCAGGCCTGCAGACCCCAGACTCTGGGTGCAGGCCTCACCTCCGTCTGCCCACAGGTCCCATGCTACTTCCCCCAACCTCTTCCCAGCCCCTCACTGTGTCGGCGTCTGCACCCGCCAGTTTGTGTTCACACCATTCACCCGAGCACTCCTTCAAAGGGTGCCCAGTCCCTGCTGTCCTTGGCACCCGTGACCACAAAACCTGCCTCCTCAGCTGCATCCTGATGCTTGATTAATGCCTTCATGGTGGAGTGGAAAGAGGGTGGCTTTCAAGTGAGACTGCTCCTTGCTTACCATAATAGCTAAGCTTTCTCCACGTGCATGTCCCTTTATGCACAGTGGAGAGCCTACTTATTTCCTAAGACTGTGGGGGAGACCTCATTATCATGCAGGATGCTCCACAGGCATAACTTTTCCACAGGTATTAAAAATGCTAATAGCAATAATAATACAGTTGTGGCTTACACACTGTTGAAAAGATAAAAAGGTTTTGGGATATAAATTAAATGTTGTCATGT